CAAGGACTTCCAGTAGGATGGAGGAAAAGAAAATTTTGTAGATTACCAGTTCACATTTTCATAAGTCTTGATTAGTTATATATATTAAGATGGTTCCATTGATATTCTATGCAGTTTTATAAATAAAAGCAAGTTTATATAATACCTAGGGTTGAGTAATTATTATACTTTGTCCAATTTCAAAAAAGTAAAACTGATACATTCCACCTGGCTCTTGGATCGTCTGGGTAGTCTGATTTGCCATCTCTCTTGGTGAGAATATTGAATGGGTTATGAGGGCAGGAAACATTAATTAGAAAACAATAAATGTAGTACTTGTTTTGGAAATTTTATACAGTACAGATGCACTCGCCAGAGAGTCCCCACCGCCACATATCACAATTTATTCATCTTGTTACCATGACTGGGCACTGCCCTATGCAAGGGTATGGGTGGCTCTGCCCCTAAACACCTCCTCGGGGAAACCTTGTATTCACCTCGATATACATGGCAAGTTTGTGCCGAAACTCAAACATACAGAGTGACTTTTAACCTGCTTTTGTGGTTACCGTTCATGTCTGCTGATAATTGCTGGAACTGATGACTGCAACTTTTTGTCCTCCACAAGAAATCCTATTCAATTTGCCCTAACTTAGGTTAACCTTACAGTATGGATGCACTAAGTTAAGATACAAAACCTAAGTAAATATAAAATAGTGTTATCTGACTAGAATGTAAGGTGGTGAATTGTCTTAATTCTGAGTTGCCAGTTTTTTCTTGATTAAATGTACTTTATACAATACACCTGTATGAGGACTGAAAGATAGAACAATATTGCGAGGTTCTAGCTTTCACCATCTACTACTGCCTTAGGTACGTATCCTTATGGCCTCCATACTAACAGGTCAACAAACCTTCACTGCGCAAGTTCTGACGCAGTAGAATTTATGAACTACCCTCGCTATCCTTTTTACTGTCAGTATTTTCTTGTCAGTGGATGCCGTACAGTATGATAGAGGTTGCTCTTTGCCATAGTACTGAAAACATGTAAGCCATGTGATTACCCAGTGCTGCATCACTGTTTGGTTAGTTAAAATTGTTGACCTTTCTTCAGAGAGCACCTCAAATTTTCAGATGGATTACGGTAGAACATTTCTTTAAAAATTCAGAGAAAATTAAAATCTTTCTGCCAAAGTTGAGTTTTTCTTGTATTTTAGGAAATGATGAAATTGGATCATTTCCATTTAGGAATTTATTATAAACTGGTAACACTTTGATATACTAATTGATTACAGGAATCACCTTAGACTATGCAGCCTATCACAAGTAGGAGAAAGTTTGTATAAAATAAACTTTGAAATGGTTGACCAGTCAATTTCAATTTTTTTCTTTTCTTTCATGCTAGTAACTTTTTGTGGATTGAATGTGTAGACCATAAGTTGGTATGTGTGATAGTTATTTATTTATAATTATGATTTAAGGCATAGATAAATAAATAGGGAAAGAAAAAACATAATAGATGTCCTGCCTTTTGTGGGGCCATTCAACAGGTCCAGTATCTCTTGGAAAAACTCTAAGGATGTTTGGATGCATATTTAAGGTTCTGGTCATTAAATAGTAATTCTTTTATTCTAATATTTTCTGATCTTTTGTTGATTATATTTGATTAGGTGTTTAGTTTTATTATGAATACTTCAGCTGAAAAACTTTGAACTTCAGAATCTTTTGTTCATCAGAAATAGTGAAGTGTTACTAGTATGTGGTGGTGGTTGCCTAGTATGAATCTAGTTGCTTGGTTTCGCTTCTCAAGGTTTGAACTACCTGGGGAACTTGTTATATCTCTCTCCTATTTGATATTGTTTTAGGTCTTTTCATATTGCTTAATATGCCTAGACAATATTTTAGTTGACTTATTTATGAAGCTAATTTTCCAAAGCCAATTGTGACAATAGTATTTTTATCAGAGGAAATGAAATTTCAGAGTATTCTTTAGGTGCTCTTAGAATCAACAAGTGTCCAAGACTGGATCTGAGTTTCATCATTGAATGGTAATTTGCATCAGGACAGCAAATATCATTGCTACAAAGTTTATTATTACGCTTGATGACTCCTGAGTTCATATGTTAACTAGCAACAAGTGTCCCTTGTGGATGGAAGAGCGATGTTTTCTAGATTTGGAATTTGACAGTCAAACCAAATACACCTTAGAATTATGTAGGGAGATGGTAGTGCCTCAAAGGCATTTGTGGTCTTGAATAGTTGCTACTATCCTATATCCTCACTTTTAGTCAATATGAAGTATGGCAGGAGCTTTCTATGCACTGTGGTAATATACTGATAAATGTAATGTGAGCTAAAGTGAAGTACATTAGTCAGTATGCATTTATTACTGCCCAAGTGTAATGAACAAGATCTGTTGTGATCTCTATTGTGGTCTCCATATGTACCTATGAAATATGGCAGAAGCTCTTGAGAGAGTTGAAGTGTTTGGTTTGAAGTAGTATGCAGGTAATTTTTCATATAATCCGAAGCAGAAGTAATTGATTGTTTGCAATGGTGTGAAGGAAAATTTGGGCTGATACATAATGTGGGGGCCTTTTGGTTGTGAAGGAAGTTGGCATTTATGCTTTTGCTACCCTTGCATGAGCTCATTGGAGAACTGAATGTTGCATATTGTTATATGATACAAAGAGCAGTGTTTTGTGAATTTTCCTCAAAGCATCATGGCTTACCAGCCTTTTGTATGGCTCCCACGTTGACAAGTTGTACGATTTATCTACTTTCAAAAGGCAGTGAAAACCCTGTAGCTAAAACATTTTCATAGAACTCTTCAAATTGGTTTTATCAGATTAGGTTAACTTGATCTGATTTGATATGAGATTTTTTATTTGCAAATTAGCAGAGCTATATATTTTTGGTGTCTTTCTCATCTTTGGATTTGAGATTCCAAATGTCACTTGGAATCAGGATATGCACTTGTAAAAGTGAAGAGGATCAATTTTTTCTTAACCCATCAGCGACAGGTAAAAATTTTGTCAAGTTTACGTATGCACCGGCTTGTTGGCATGCACTGGCAGTTTCCCCTGTTTGCGCCCGGCTCGATCGGTAGTTTGCGAGCGACATTTAGCACCTAAAAGCTTTTATTTTTCAAAAATTTATTAAATTATTAAAAATTTGAAGTTTTACCGTCACTTTAGGTGCCATTGCCTAAAATCTTTACCATATAAATGAAGCCACTACTATTGGAGAAAAACAACCTCCGTCCGACGGGCCAGTAGCGCGGGAATGGGCATGGCATGATGCCCCCGGCGTTTGGTCCACAACAGCCATGGCATGTACGTACGTGACACCCGGCACCAATGGGTTAAACATATTAACCCACTAGTGACAGTCTATTTGGAAGCCGATAATCCCGGTTTCTGGACGGTATCAGAATCTGTGTGGGGGCCAGTCCGGGAACCTGCCCACGTGCTGCCTGCCACAGGAGATGAAATCAGAGCTCAAACTCCGATCTAGTGCTGCACCGGTGGAACAGCCGGCTATATTTTTCCGGGTGTCTCACTTGTGTAATATTCCAATATAACTCTTATTTGCTTTTCCCGATTGGTTAGGTTAGGTGTTATATTTGTAAACAGTGCTGACTTTGCCTTGGATGTAATAGTTTTATTCATATATTCCTAATTGTTATTGTTAATTTCAGTATTTACATTCTTAACTCCTCTTTATTAGTTTTATCATGCCTCAGGCTGGACACAATGTTTACAAAATCTTCTGATTGGCATTTACGGCCTGTGATTGGTCAAGATTCCCTAAGAGCTGCCTGAAACAGCAGCTGCAATTGGCCACTGAAGATCCAACACCTTATGTGATTTATGGTGCTGTGGGATTTAAGGCAGGGATAAGGCGCCTTAAAAAATGTTTGTATATATGAAGTTAAGTCCGAGATACGGAACTCTAGATGGGCTGTAACTTGCATTGGCACAGGACGGTTAAGGCCTCTAGTGCGCCATAACTTGAAGGCTCTTTTGAGAATCCGGCTCCTGGAACATAAGTCAGAAATACTGCTTTCATCAACAATTAAAAGCAAGAAATGTACCAAGATTGTAAATATTGTACAAGATAATCAGAAGATTTGCATTAAATATTTCTTACAATAGTAAGATCCAGCAAGTTTACCCCACCTCTTTTCAGTCTCTCATGGATTCATTTTCCAGTATTTTTTTTGTATAATCTATCTTGGTTGTATTCCAGAACTTCAATCCTTTCCTAAAGATATAAAAGAAAGAAGACCTTGTTAATACAATTTAGTATTTTGTGGCTCAGTGATTGGTCATTCTCCATCCTGCCATAAATATGTAGAGGACTGGGATTGGAGATGGCAGCTGCCTGTATTGGATATTGTTGTGACACATCTTGTATATGTATTTTATCTTACCACAGATATTAACTGACTTTCATAAAGTTTTTCGTATTTCAACCTGCAACCTTTATAGTAACTTTCATGACCTCCCCTCCTATTGCGGCCAACTTTATTATGTATTGGGAGGGATTCCATAACATGATTTATATATTATATATATTATATATATTATATATATTATTATATATATTATATATATTATATATATTATATATATTATATATATTATATATATGGCATGATTTATATATTAGGGGCGAGAGGAACACATCAGCACAAGTTTTGTTATGATGGGGTGCATGATATTCTAAATATTTATATATCTATGTTGAAAAAATGGTTTATCCTTTGCAAGGTGGTTTGCATTTGGTCCATTTGGAAGCTGATAATCCTGGCTTCTGGGCAGGATCAAAATTGGGGCACCACGGGCGATAAAATGAGATCACAAGCTCTGATCTAGTATTGCACTGGTGGGACAGCCGGCTATTTTTATTATTCCGGATGTCGCATACAAGTGGGTTAATATCCAAGTGTTATCAAATGTATTGGTAATTGTTAAAAATAACTATGCCAACCTGATCATGACATTTCAATACTTGTTTATTTAGAAATTGTCTGGCAGAAAATCCCTCCTATACCCCACAAACTTTGCTCTGGTAGTAGTGGGAGGGGGGGGGGAAGTTGGATACCAATTGCAAGGTAAGATGTGGCAAATGAGCTGAATAGCATACGAGATGAGGGCCACTATAATATCTGAAGGTGCTGCCCCTCCTAACACCTCCCTGGAATACAAAGAATCCTCCACGTATTTATGGCAGGACTGACATGCATGGTGAAATAGGATACTGTGCATACTATATCTAATGCAGGAGGCTGTCCCCAGGGACCCCCCCCCCCCCCTGGGGCCAGATTTTCAAACATGTCGGATTTCGTCACCACCATATATTGTCTGTATTCTTAACATTTTTGCGGTGTGGCATTAATAATCTTAAAGGATCGTCCCTAGGGGTGGGGAGGATTTTGGGTCAATTACTTCTGCTTCGGTATTGAGCTATAATCAGTTTCATACATGTATGAGTTGTAGAATTACCTAGAATATAAACTCCCATATTGAAAAATTTTGGCAGCCTGCGAAGTGAGAACCCCAAATCTTCATGCCAGTGTCAGTGATTTTCACCCTTCTGCATTCCCGCTTTACGGGAGTGAATAATGATGCATTGTATTATGACATTACCTACTGAAATGGATCTCGGGAGGGTAATGTGTAATTATACGGTTTCATTCCAAAATGAAAGATTTGATATGAAAAAACTAAGAAAAGAACTCACGTGACTAAATTTCTTTCTCATAAAATGAAGTGGATATGATTCGATTTTGACATATTAAACATATAAGTATGTTTAGGGCTTGAGCAGTTACATCTATATCTCTAAAAAATAAACTTGCAACGAATAGTTATTTACACACCCATGTCAACTGCCGTCTTGGAGAGACCCAGCTGACAGTTCCAAGTGTCACCCCCCACGATAAACTTTTCGGATTGCAATAGTTTTACATTTGCTCTCACATTTTAAGCTAAATAATCAATTAAACATAATTTCCTCATTGTAAATCCATTTTACATAAAAGTAAATGTAAAGATGGTGTATGATTTATTTTTTAAAAACTATATAATATAGGACTATAAGTATTTGATACCTATTGTTACATCACAAGACGAAGTGTCCACGACAAATACAAGTGACTTGTTTTTCAAAGTATTTTTGATAATATCAGTGTTTTCTGAAGTTATTTCTAACAAACAAAAGCAACTCTGATTTCCATAACAAGTACTCTGCTTGTGACTAAATGTTGTCCACTTGTTTTGAGGTGGATTCACATCATTAAACAAGAGTAGACTGGAATAAAAATGAAATAAAATAAATCATTACGGATCTAATGGGTACATGGGCATATACGCATACGCATGCGTACACATTAATTCATATGTGTATGTGCATTTAAGTGAATGTGCGCTCAAGAAAAATTTAATAAAAGAGGTCTTAAATGAGAAACTAAGGCTTTTATGTAACCTCATGTTGTTGTCTTGGGTCTGGATTTGCACTTTTTCCACAGGAGTTGCTAGTTTGTTTCTATAACTCGGACTAATGATCATAATGAACAAGGTCGTTTAAAAGATGGTGGTAAAGATTCATAAAAAAAAAAAAAATTATATACAACTTCATATATCCAATTTTTTGTTTTTAATTTTTTTCTTAAAATGAACAAAATACTTTTAGATTGAAATAAAACTGAATTGATATCTTGTTTACTGTTTCATTGAAGATGAATACAGACTCTGTGAAATGTTATGAGTGATATACATCATTTACATTAAAAGGGATTTTAGTCATAGATGAGTTGGATTTTGGGCATCATCATGGTTTTAAAAATGCTAAGTTAACTGTGGATGATTATAGTAGAAAAAAAAAGTTTGTATTCTTCATTTAAAATTGCTTATTTAAGCAGTTTTACTGTCAAACATGCAATCTTTGTTGTCATTCCCAATAGGAAAGCAATAATGTTGAGAATAGGTGTGGAATCCAGAGCTGCAGTTAGTAAAAAGAAAAAAGAAAAGATAAAAAAAATCACTAGTTCAAAGGCAGCAAGCACTTAGAATTATAATTTGTACCATTTTTTATTAGTAATGAATATACTTCCTGCAAGATAGTTTTGCACTTGAAAACTAAGAAAAATTCTATCAACCTGAAGAAGCAGATTCTAAGATCCAAGTATTGCAGCAATAGCATTTTACTTTTCAAGGTAAAATTTTTAGTCAGATGTAGAATTTAGCATTTTGTTAAAGGTAGGCAGCAGGGTTTGAATTTAAAGAGAATCCACCGGCATAACCATAGTGATGACTAGCCAAGTGGTTGACCTTGGATAAGGGTCTATCATACTGGGTTTATCCCCATTGCAGCTTACCCGTTTTGGGATGAAGGGTATTAGGAGCAGAGCTGGACTTCCACTCTTTATTGCATATTAGTAGAAAATTAGCAGTATTTTATTTATTTATTTTTTTTTTGTTACTCTTGTCTTTTCTACATTGTTTTAAAGTGATGAAAGAATCTCGGAAAATGCCTATCCCTAATCTGTAATCTCTTGGTCTGTCTCATTTTATTATTGTTTAATAAAAGTTAATCTTACTTGTTTCAGTGCTGCTGACCATGGATGTACTGGTGCTTGGTGCTGTTGTGGTGGTGTTGACAGTTGTGGTGTATTTACTCGCCACTTTGGCACAAAAGAAACCCCTTATGAAGAAGCTCTTGCTGAACAACGTCAGAAGCAGGAACAGGAACAGATTGCACTAGCAAAGAGTGACAGCAACAAAAGTACAAAAATACCAAGGTGTGTAGAAAATATTTATGGTTTCAGTAAAGTAGATATTTTTACTTGTTTTTTGAGACAGCTACAAAAAAAAGCTTGTTTGTGAATCTGAATGTATGCTGCACTTGTTTTTCCCCTTTCCTGTTAATGTAATTGGATAAGTGTTTGGCAGCAGAGCTACCATATCCTTCTCATTGTTATCTATAGTTGTGAAGGGCATAATACTAATCTTATCTACCTTAATTTTTGCATGAGTTTTTTTTTATTAAAAAAAAAAATGTACATTATATATATATAAAATATATAATATATATATATATATTTATATAATATAATATAATATATATATATATATATATAATGTACATTTTTTTTTTTTTTAATAGAATATTTGAATATATCTTTTTGTTCAGCTTTTCCATGAGTAGTAAGTAGGCATACATTTTCTTATCTTTTAATTTGATCACAGAATATTTATTAAAATTTAATATTTATTAAAAATGATGTTGACCAAAATTAACCCACTACAGTTTGCCATTGACACAATATTCTCATTCTTTTTTGGCTCTGAAGATGATCAGTAGCTTGGTCTTTTAATGTTTTGTAGATAGCTAATTTTATTCCTCTGAGCATTTGAAAGCTGGGAAGTGCTTACTGTTTTTGAATACTAATTTTGGCCCCATTATATACAGCATGCATATAATTGTGTGAATTGTTATTTCTTATATTAAGCAAAAACATTTAGATTTTAAAAAAGCTACTATCCCTGTATAAAAAAAAAAAAAATTCAGGTCACTGGGTTATTGTCCTGTGGAGAGGTATAATTGATAAAAGAAAATTATACAGCCTTGAACTAAAGTGTAAACTAGAGGCTAGGGTCTGGATTCACTAATGCACTTACGATGCTAAAATCACTGGTAACTATAGTTATCATGTTAAACACAGCGGTGGTATTCATTAACAACTTGCCATCGGAGTTACCATGGTAAATTTACCAGTGGTCAGAGCACTGATAACTACTGGGAAGACGATGTCATCACATTTGTCTCGTCAAAAAATCAATATCTAAGCAAAGTTTTCGATTTGTTTTTACACATGCTGTAACTAATATGATGACAAACAGATATCATAGTGCGGATAGTGAAGAAATGCAAATTTCATAAACTAGCAAGAAAGAAAAACACGAGTCTCGTAAAATTCTAGGCCTACATTATACTAGAATGCATGGTACTGATAAAAAGAACTCTGAACCCATTAACTCCGGTATATTTTGAAGCCGAAAATAAAAGATCTGGGCGGCTACAAAATCGGCGGGCGGGGCTGCCCGGACCAGCGTCACACTGGTGGGACGCACGGCAATGTTTATTTGTTTGGGTGTCTCATATGTAGGACATGTCGTTAGTGGATTAAAGATTACTTCTCTGACATAATTATTATAAATGGTATAGAAAAAGTTACCTTGCTGATATGTAAACTGGCAATACCAATGCTAAAAGAGTATAGCAATATCTGTGTCTGGCGGCATTTTGACAAACTCCAAAGCGCATGGGCAAGAATAAGCTTGAAATATTTACTTTGACAGCAAAGGGCATGAATAAAAATTTATTTGGTCCGGTTCTTTAAGTGATGAGATATATAATAAAAAATTTTTTTGGACTGTCTCTTCGGTTTGAGGTAACAATAATATATTGATATAGGTGTTTATATTAGTTCCTATCTATACAGTAATTATAATATCCAACATGATGGATATAATCAAATAATTTTTTTTTTTTCTACATGTGCTTAAATAGTGCTTTTATCTGTGACGATTATTTATACAATCTTGCTGTTTCTAGATCTTACTTGTTACGTGATTGGCTGAAGGAAGTATAAGATTATGTATAGCGCTTGCTGATTGTTTGAATTGATTTACTAGATCCCTCTGTACAATTGTAATGTAGCATGTCCAAATTAACATTTCTTCATGAATCCTGCATTGCCATCACTGGTAAACGCAATGATAAATGACTGCTGGTAAATGTGTTACGATCTTATGTTAGTGAATCCATCGTCAGTTTGTTAAAATTGTGTGAGGTCTGAAGAACAATGATTATACAGGCATGCACATATACAAGAAAAAATACGTCTGAGTCTAGACATTGCATATCTACTGGATAGATAGATAAATATATATTTATCAGACAGACAGGTGTATCTTTATTTCCTAGTATTTGCATGTCTGCTTGTTTGTGCATAAGGGAGAAATGTCAAACTTTTTGAAGCATGCCATACAGGAGAATGATAATTATCTACCAGACTAAGCATATTGAAGCATACTTCAGTATAGAAAAAATAAGTAGTTTGGCAAGCTAATGGAATCAATTTTCTCTTGAATATGAGTCTAGGGCAAAGATTAGGAGTTTCATATATTTTCTTTTCTTGAGGGATAACTCAAAAGAACTATAGCTCTAAAAAGTTGCAATTATGAGCTGCAATTTGTTGAAACAAAAGTAGCATCAATATTTTTTTTAAGGATGGACAACTGGAAACCTGTTGTATTTTACAAGCATTCCCCTGAAATAGGTGAGGTGAAGTGAAGTACATAATGTACTTGACCTCTTAGTGCCTGAGTCCTTGTATGAAACCATCTATCAATACAGTGAAACCTAAGTGAACAGTGCATGTATTGGTAGAAGTTTGATGAAGGCAGCAGGCATTACAGAGAACAAATAGCAAATAATGATAAAGTTCTTTGCCTAAAGCTGAGTGCTGCATTGCACATTGTTTACTTTTGAAACTTGAATTTTATAACTTTTGATTATAAATAGGTTAAAAAAATATTCAATATACATCTACCGTATGACATGTAACATATACATTAACTTTATTTATTCTTTAATTTTCTCAGGAATATTTGGCCTGGTATGTCATTTAAAAAGGTACAGCCTTTCCAAGTAGACTGAAGCTTATTTCAGTCTTGAAAATTTCTGTGCCAGAGCCAAAATTGTAAAAAAAGCTGGAAAACCCTTATCTTTTATTTTAGTTTTCACTCAAGTTGTTAACTTTTACCCACACTACAGTCATCATTTTGCTAGTTTTCCTTATTTTTTATATTTACCATGTGGTAAGCCACATGGCAAATGGATTTCCAGCCCGATAAATACAAAACCTTAAACTTCACCCGTTTGGAATCACAATCCACTTGCAACTACTACCCAACACACCACACAAATACATTGGTATCACACTCCATGCCAACATGAAATTTAATACACAGACAACATGCGACATAAAGCCAATAGAACACGGAATTTCCTGAGGAGGAACCTACAGTTGAACTCATGACATTAAACATGTAGTTTATAATACTATTGTCATTCCAACACTGGAATGTTATGCAGCTGTGTAGGAACACACACACACACACACACACACACACACACACACACACACACACACACACACACACACACACACACACACACACACACACACACACACACACACACACTCAATAAACTAGAAAAAGTTCATTCCTGGCATCACGACATGAATCAAACAACATTTACGTATGGAAGCCCTCTGAATACACAGACAAGCACACAGACCAATGATTATGTAGAAAATCACAAACAACCAAATTGACATAAACAAGAATAACAACTCCATGTAAACATAATTAATACACGAAACGACCACAACTGGAAATACGTGACATATCACACCAGTACCGACTCCTTCAAACTCCTATTTTCCAAGCACCATTTGTGATAGGATCAGACTCCCACAACACATTGTACACGCAAACAAAACGGACACCTTTCACATAATAGCACTAACACATTTCCGATTCCATATTGCGCTTTTATTTCCCCCCAACAACCAACTGTCCCATAAACGTGATATGTATTAACTTTTAGTGCCCTACACTTTAACATATTGAGATTGAGGTTTTCGAAACCAGTCTTCTCTAATTTTATTCTCCTGACTCAGATCAGCTTTCCCTCTGTTTTAACCCATTTTCTAGCTCTTCAATGGCTAAGAATAGTAAGTCACACTATTTACCCCACACTATTTATTTCTTTTACTTCATCCTTGTCTTTCCAGTTTCTGCTTCCTCTTCCCTTCTGTTTCTTGTTCCCCCTTCTTTCTCACCAGTTTTCTACCTTGTTCACCCTCCCTGCTCAATTGGATATATTTATCTAGGTTTCATAAGCAGCCAGTATATACTGTTCCATGCCTTTCAGCAAAAGAAGCCAAAGGCCAGGAAGGATGACTTTGAGCAGAATGGACCAGCATCAGCAACAAAAGTGAGGAGATAGCTACAGAACCAGACACCACACCACCTTCTACAGAACCTGAGGCTTCTCCCCAACCCAGCAGGTGAGAATAGACCATTTTTTCTCATTTGAAGGGAAAAAAACTATAGCATAGAATCGAATGAAAGCTAGGGTAGTATTCAGAAACTGGGCTTTACAATGGGAATGAAGATAGGTTTTACTATGAATTCTTGTAATTTAAGAGCCTCTATTGATGGAATTGTTTGTGCATTGTTTGTATATCTGGGATTTGTAATTTTTCAAAGTAGGTAAAGAATGTAGTGTATGCATACTTACTGTTGTAGTTTTTCCAACGATCAGTTGTACAGATCAAATTAAAGGCCTCAGATGGGCCATAAATGTCTTAGTAATGAAAGGCTTATATGTGCCATACTTAGCTGAGAATGCAATTATCATTGCTGGACATGCTGTCCCCTTTCATCTCTGTAATCCTGCTTGGAAGCTGTCCCCTTTCATCTCTGTAATCCTGCTTGAAGGAATGCTGTTTGATATCTATGGTTAGAGAGAGAAAGAGCGCCAGGATAGATATTGGTTTACTTTTTATGACCTATGCTCACAAGCTGCTTATATCCATTGCACTATGGGCAGATTACTGCATCAATTGTTTATACTACATTACTGCAGTAACCTGGGGCAGTAACCACAAAGGATCCGACTATTCTTTGCGATTGTGTATTTGTATTGATGCCACATTTTAACCCTATCATGACGGGGCCAGAATTTTTAGACGTAATTATTATGCAACAATCTAGCCTTTGTCAGGGCGTATGCTGTGTACAGTCGGACCACTTAGAGTGAGTCATGCCATGTATACATATCGTGCATCATTGTCATGACAGCTATAGCTGTACCTATCACTAAGGGGATGAAACTATTGCTGCTAATTAGAACATTTACCTTGGTTTAATTCTATAACACTAGTAGAAGGTAGCTATACCTTTAAAATGGATACTTCAATCATTCTTTCTTGTATTAATAATATACATTTCATTTAGTGGTGTAATGTGGCACCCATGTTTTTTGTTGCATCATTTGTGAAAGAGCATGGTACCATTTCTTTTTCAAATAGAGCTTTGCTGTAAATATACAGTGGATCCATTCATTGTGGATAGTAAAGTAGGTGACCTTTGTCTATAACTGATATGTGGCCTATAACTGATATGTGGCCATCTTCATATCTTTTACTTGGCAAATTTATCGGACTCTCTTGTCTTGGCTCAAGTTTTAAGACAGCAGTGAAAGTGTCCCACAAAAGATAAGGTATCTTTAAAACTAAAATGCAGATTCACACATTGAAGATAATTCACTGGAAATAAGGAAAACTTCATTTGATTTGAGATGCAGATAACTGATACTATATTTTCTTTGTTGAAGATTATTCCACATTAGAAATAATGAAAATTGGAGGTACCTTTAAATTTATTGTGAAACTTTCATTAATCCGTTCCTACTTTTTACTGTAATATTATAGTTGAAAAGCATAGATAGCAGCATGTGACTGTTAATATAGGGTGCCACATCTTAATATATGAAATGTGTATTATTGTCATGATAGAAGTAAGATTTATTGCTATATTTACCTGGTCATGTTATTACATTAGAATTTTAGCAGAGGGCCTATAACGATGTGAATGTTTGTTCTTATTAGTATATCAACAACGAGACGTACCAGTGCAAATTATAAACTAAATCGCAAGGAACAGTTATAAACCTTTTGTGAAAATTGCTCCTGGTCCTCTTGGTTGACCAATCCCAGTATTAAGATGCCGAGTCAGATCTAGAATTGAGGTCCAGAGATTGCCATTTCATTGACTTGTGGTTATATCGTTAATGAGCTTCATTCAATATATCTTAGAACTTTTGTATCTATTTACTACTATGTAGGGTAAGCCTTTACTGACTTCATACACTAAATGTTTAAATTGTTTTTTTTTTTTTTAAGTATCCACTAACTTGATGCAATTTTTTTTTCCAATCATTATAGGAAAAGAAGAAGAAAAAGAAGAAAGACAAGGAAGATGATGAAACTCCTCGTAAGATTGTTGTGGAGGAGGTAACTGAAACCATTGTGACAAAGGCTGAGGCTGTGAAAGTAGAGGCCACAAAGGGGGGAAGTCCTCTAAGCCAGAAGCAGCCAAGTCCTCACAGACGAAGGCTGAAAGCCCGAAGGCTGATTCTGTGAAGGTGGAATCTACTAAAGGAAAGACTTCCAAGGTAGAGGCATCCAAGTCAGACCAAGCTAAAGCTGAAAGCCCAAAAGTTGAGTCTGGTAAGTCAAAGGCTGCCAAGGCAGAGGCTGCCAAGACTGAAACTGCTAAGACTGAAGCTGCCAAGGCTGAACCAGCCAAAGGAAAGGCAGCAAAGACTGATGTAGGAAAAGCTGAAGCAGCAAAGATTACCAAGGCCAAGGAAACCAAGACAGAGGCAGCCAAGACAGAGGCTGCAAAGACCAAGGCCGCTCCAGAATCCACCCCTCCTCCTCAGGGAAAGGAAAACAAGAAGGAAAAAGTGAGTTGTACTTCTTTTTTCCCAGTATTTTATCATTTCAGTAAGTAATTACTTCTATTACTCTTTGCATTTTTAACCCATTGATGCTAGAAAGGCTTGTTTATCCATGTCAGCTGATATAATTTTCTGGATTATATTTACACAGATTGCTCCATAAGTGCTGATTCATGTGACCAAGGAGTGCATTACCAGACCTGTGCTATCTCTTGTTGATCCTTTTTCCTTGACTGATTGGAAAGATCTATTACTATTAGTATTGGTGACTTGTCCTGATAGTTGGTAATTTTAACACTAACTGTGAAGAACATCAAATTATCCAGCTTGTTTTAGAGAAGACCAGATTTTTCAGATTTAATTAAGGGAATTTGTTTGTAGGCACATCAGAGGCTTGATTTGCACCAGAAAATGTACATCTATTTGGAATCTCTTAGAAATTTGCATTATACAGAAAGCAGTCATCTTAGGGATATGCTTACTGTTTTAGGAATTAACTCTTCCTGAAAATTCATATAATGGGTAAACAGGTGAGGACAGTTAGGCCTAGTAATTGACTCCTTGGTGAACTTGAGTATTTATGAAATTGTTTTTGTGGGGAGGCAGGGGGTACAAAACTCTTAAGAGGACAGAACTTGTACCAGTGCAAGTGGGTTGACAGTTTCTTAGGACATTTTATATGTTGCTCTGACTTGCAGGTTGTAACACCTGTAAACCCGCCCTAAGGTTGAAGACAATTTTGAGGTTGTAGATGGAAGTTTGAACTCGACAGGAAAGGCTACACCAACTCAAGAAAAGAAGAAGAAAAAAGAGAAACAGAAGACTGATATGCCTGGTAAGCTGAATTTTCTGTTCAAAAATAGAATCTTTCTAAATATTTCTCTAGTCTGAAGTGTTATAAATGTTTGTCGATAATGATGTATGGGAAAATAAAACATTCTGTATTAATTTATTCTGCATATAGTGTTCGGTAAGTTTGCTTTGTAAGTTTAAGGTAGACTTGTGTGGGGCAGTTTAGTTAGTTGTAGAGAATACTGATCCTTGCTGGACTCCAGTTATATAGAAGAAAAGTCCACAAAGAAATTTTATTAGAATCTGCTGTTCATATTTGGTCAACATAAAAGCCTATAAGTGATTGACAGTCATCGTAAAATGATAACCAGGATGCAAAGTGCAACATGCAACAATTATTTACATGTCTATTTATTATAATTAGTTTCCCACCCTTAACTAATTGAATCCGTGTGCTTTGCTGCCCGCATGTGGCCCAAAATCTGAGTATTAGGCTTATCCGGGTGATGACTCTCCCTGGGGTGTTTGGCTTGCAGGCCTGATCCATGGACATTTGTTTGTAGTACCAAGACTCCTTGCCCTCTCCTTTGTAATGTTATCTCACTTTCTCCATAAGCATTTTTTGCTTTATTGACATTTCCCAATGTCTGTCATTGGATGATATGCTATTTGAAGATAAGACTATTTTCCTTGCACAGGCTACATATATCTGTGTAATAGTAATAACAAAGTAACATTTTTTATATTTTCGCACCTGTCATGGCAAGTAGGAATAGGATCCTGAGAAAGGATAAAGTGTCCTTCCTGGTGTTGGTGCTCTGTGCCTTGGCTCATGGATGGTACACAAAATAATGCAAGAGCCCTTCCTAAATGGCCAGTCTAGTCACACTTTAGTCAAAATTCTCATACCAGCATGTTATTGTCAGCCTGGCCTTCAGGCAAAATTCTTATGATGGCAGTCATGTCACCTGGATCCAGGGAGTTTGATATTAATAATTCTGACACAATTTCTTGCCAATTTTGTTACATTCCTTAGGTGGTAACTGTCAGTATGCCACTGGCATTTGTTAAGTGTCATGTATGACCTCTTTTGTAGTGAGGCACATCCATAGTTGATAGCTTCAGTGGAAATTGCTTAACCTGTTGGATCTGGTTGTCACAGCAATCACATGACTGAAAATATGGCAGTGGGTTACCCAAGTGGCTGCTTGGCTGGGTGTGCAGTACGTTGGCCAGATGCACATGAACACGTGTGCAGTGACAAGACCCTTTGCAAAGTTATTTTGCATAAACTTTTTTAGCTTTTTTGCCATTTCCTGAAGTCCATATTTGTCTTTTGATTGCTTTATCCAGATATTATTTTCCTTGCACAGACTCCATATCCTATCTCTGTAGTAAATAGCTCGATGCAAGAACTATGGAGCATTTTGTTATTTGCCTGTAATATGTTGTGGATGCTATTCCCATGCTTAGCATGCAGTCATGGCTTGTGAACATTGTTCCACACTCGTTTATCGATAGGAATAATGCAAAAGCCCCCTTCTAAATGCCAAATGAGTCTAATCACACTTCAGGAGACCTGTGCACCTGTGGCAAGTCTTTTTCTATCACCCTGGCCTTTGCTCATGATAGCAAGTTGTCAAGCCTAGCCTGTAACCATTTTGTCCCTTGATGGCAAGTTCACATCAACCAGCCCTCGACTCAAATTTTTCCGTGACAGGACGGTCACGACCTGGATCCAAGGGGTTAATGATCAGAACAATGTGTAATTAGTGGAAGTGAAAATGAAAATGAAAATGGCAGTATCTATAGAAGCGATTTATTTATTTATTTTTTTTTACATTAAAGAGGTGTTTATTTTATCTTTGTTCCATATTCTGTTTCAGCTCCAAAAGAAAGCAGAATTCTACCCCTTGTGCAAGATGCTCACCTGAGCAGTGGAGAGATTCAAACTTTGATTGACATTCTGCTGAACAAGCAGCAGCAGAACAATGCTGGTGGTGAATGGGTTGAGAAGGGACGTGTCGATCCCACAACTCAGCTTCGACGACAGTTGGAGGAAGTGGAAACCCGCTTGAGGGAGAAGGATGAAGCTCACTCTGCACTGTCAGCCAAGATTACTTCCTCCGTACGGAGCTGAATTGTGAGCGTTCTCGGGCAGTGAAACTGAAAGCTCAGTTGATGACACTGTAGCAAATCATTCACGTGAGCTTGAAACTGCAAATGCAAATGCCCAGACATCCCAGAATGCACGTCTGAATGAAATGAAGGCTGCTCTAGAGAAGGAATACCAGGCTAAAATGCAACAACAGCAAAAGATTTTACAGCAGTTGCAGAGCACGAACAATGAATCGGAAATTGCAACACTACGAGCTTCCCTCAGTGAGTCAGAAATGCAAACAGCTGTGCTGAGACAAGAGCATGAAGAATTAACAAGGAGATGTCAGCAGTATGAAGAGCACATTGCCGCTCTTGATGAAAAGAGAGCAGGTGAAAATGCCAGTAGAAATACACAAATCACAGAGCTGCAGGCACAGCTTGCAAGTGCTGATGCCCAGAGAAGCCCAAGCCTTGGCAGAGGCATCTGCTGCGAGTGCTGAGCGAGATGCCCTTACTGTGCAACTAGCAAATGAAACCTCAAAAACTGCACAAACACAGCACAAACTTCAGGTATGTCAGTGATTTATGAAAGTTAATTCCTCGTTTGTAGTTGATTCATAAAAATGTTAGTGTTAATAATGGGCAAAACATTGATTTTATTTTTTATTTTCAATTAAAGTATTGCAACAATTTTGCTTCTAGGAAGCGTACAGGAGAAAACAAAAGTGGAGTCACGATTAGCCCAAATAGAGGGAACTTTGTAGTGTACGACAGGTGGTGTTAGACCAGACTGCAGAAGTAAGTTCACGTGTTACATCTTTTGTATATTACTTGCTGCTAAATAAGTCAGGACCTTAGAGATTTGTCAGTGTATTTAGTATTTGATAAGCATTAGGAAACTTATATAAAGGATGTGCTATTAATTTTTTTTTTCAATCTATAGATTGAACGCTTAAAAGAGGAAAAGGAGTCTTTGGCATCTCAGAGTGTCCGTCCAGCTAGCTGAGGGTCAAGAAAATGTGATGTTCATGCAGAGCAAACCCAAGGCCACATCCACCGCCCACTTAGAATCATTGTGAGACCCCTAATTTATTTATTTTTTTCCCCTCCATGATATTGAAAAGGCTTAGTAGTATGAATAGTAATTGATGTTCATTATTTATAGTTACTAGTTTTGCTTTTTTGATTTTAACCATTATTAACCAAGTAAAACAAAGAATGCTAAGGTTTATGGATTTTACAGAGTTAAGGAAAGAGATCCAAATAGAACAACAAATAAGTGAGGTATCAAACCTGAAAAAGATTGCAAGATTAAAAGAAGAACTGGATAATCAGAAAGCAAAGAACAATGTGAGTATTGTTTTAAATTGTTCTCTGAAACTGCACTTGTTTATGACCATTATCCTGATGGACTTGCATGGCTGTGATTATAAAACTTCAGTTATGTCTCATCATAATACACTTTTCAGTGTAGTATGTACACATTTTTATTATATATTACGTATTGTGGTATCTGAGTCTTTGGATCTGTTAGATTTTATAGTTTTGTTTGTTTGGATACACAGCATTAGTATTCCTTACAATATTGATTTTAGTATTATTCCTTTAGTACTTCCAAATGTTTGATCTTGTATAGTAGAACAGATTAGCATGTTGCTCTGATATAATGCCTTTGGAAAAGATGTTGCAGTCCTCGTATACTGTAACACTCGTGTCTGTTACCTTCCATTTTCTGCTGGAATGTGAGCCTGAAAGTTGCTTGAGTCTATGCCCTAATTCTAAAGGTAGGGGCAATCCTTAATTCATGAATGATCCTTGATCCTTGAATGCCATTTCATGTAATAAATGGGGAGAAATAAGAGTACCTCTTCTTGAAAGTAGTGTAATATGCAAACCTTTCCCACTACCTTTAGTGTTGTTACCCTTGGCCTGTGCCTCTTGAAACTGATCCTTCAACACACTAGGCTGATATGCATGTTTTGCATTAGTGTCTTGGGCTTGTCTGGCAATGCTGGTATCCTTCTTAACCTCTTCAGATTGGAAATGAGCATTCAAGACTAAGGGGATGAGGAATTACAATTTTCATGTATAGCATACATCATGTTAGAATGAAGTTACCCTTTTTTTCCTGGAGTAAAATGGATGCAAAGACCTGAAATATAATTGGTTACACATGAATGTAAGTTCAGACAATAGAAAGACCCAAAGAAGAGATCTCTGAAGATATGACCGGTGTCCATACATATCCTGTCACAAGTTGAGGAGCATATAGAAGCCTTGATATAAAGGAATGACTTAAATCCTGGTGAAATAACCAGGACAAACTGGTTGAGGGATGCCAGCACTGTACTAAATTTTTTGTAGCCTGACGTGGCTTTCACCAATTAGCTTTGTGTGTCACTTTACTTCTTTATGTATACCCACATATGTCTACTTATTTAGAATTTCCATTCCATTGTTCTATACATTTTGGGGCTTGGATGCCTTTGTTAATGATTATGAAAGTATATTACATGATGAATAATAATTGAAAGTGTAGAGGTATCTCAATGCTGCTAGCTTTCATTAAATATGTTTGGCCCAATGTGAGATCCAGTGAAGTCTAATAGTATATGTTAATCCTTGCCTGTAGGAGTTACGAGAAAAGAACCACAAAGTCCTGGGGCCTTAACAAGCACAGAGGAAAAATTGATGGCTAGACTCAAGCAGGTGGATGTAAGTGCTGCCCCTTCTGTTAGTAAGCAAGCTTCTGCAGTCACACCAAAGCTAATATAATGCTAGATAGATAGGGAATCTACAGATGCTGCTGCTTGAAAGAGGATGCTATTATGAAAGAGCTTAACTTGTATTACAGTGCTTGGCTATTTATTGGACACTTCAACTGTTAATTGGTTGAAATGTGTATCTCAACCATTAGCAGCTCAGTGAAAGTAGAATGGCTTTCTGTACACAATTGAGGAGAGTTTCCACTTGTGTATTTTCACATTCCAATCCAGTTGACAAAGTTTTACAAGCATGGTTTTAGTTTTCAAGTTAGTGATAAGCTGAATTGAATTTTAGAGCAGTTATTAAAGAATTTGTAATTAAACTTTTGCTTGTATTTAAAATTGCATATACTTGTTCTACTTGGTTTGATTTGAAGGGTAAACAGATAAAATGAAATTTGTTTTATTACATTTCAACAATGATTGAAGAGGTGTTCTTTTTGAATGTAAATGAAGAGCTGTTGTATATTCTGTGACTGGTTATGCATACGACATCAGAATCTACTAAGTAAAGTTCTTTAAAAAATATTCTCTAAATCCTGTGATGGAATTCATGTTGACCAAAGATTCATATTAAATGCAGGTACACAGAAGTAAAGGCATTACATATTTGTAAGAGACTTGTATATAATCTTTTAAGGGGGCCGTCGCACTCGAGAACAAAACTCGTTAATTATGATTAGATTTTCGTGATTTTTTAATGTTGTATTTACATGTATTATGATTTACATCATTGTTTTATTATTCAAATGATATGAAGTTATTAAAAAAAAAAAAAAAAAATCTTGATGCATTCTATGGCATTGACATGGTATTCTGAAGTGTAGCTGGTACCCCCATTTTGCAAAGTAATAATGGCAATAACTGCACATAATTGTAGAAGTTCTGTGTCATCACAGGCTTCACAGTACCTTGTGAGGCATTTCATACAAATAAACAACTGCTGCAGCTGTGATCGAGATGTATTTTCCATCATATTATGTTTAATAATGATAGATGTTATTCCATAAGAAATAGTGTCCTCAGGGGTATGTCTATGGATGGTGTTGCAGAGGGCAGCCTCTCCCTTTGACTCTTGTAGGGACTGCCTGCCATGTCTCTTAGTCATGGCTATCAGTCGATTCAGGAAGCAGAATTACCAGCTAGATACCAGTGAATAAAAACAAATCTAAAAAAAAAAATCTCCCCAAAAAACAAATTTGTCGAGTATATTTGCACGGAAGCAACAAAGTAAATATCTGAGGGGGGGGGTCAGATATTGTCATAATTCCTTTATTTTTTATGTATCAGCAGAAATATTATGTCATGAGATTGCCAAAGCCAACTAGATTACAGGAGATTTTTTTTTTCCCCCATTTTTTGAGTATTTTTGAAAATGTCAAATTCAGTGTAACGGCCCCTTAAGATGATATAGTTGGTAGCCTTCTGTAGTTAAAAGGGAAATCATAGTTAAAGCTTAACCCATTGCCTCCATATGAAGTATAGTTCATGTCATGGCTGACTTGGTTGCATTGTCTGATGGAAGATGGGGAAACTAGGATGTTTGCATAAAAGTGGAGGTATTAAGCCATTGGATCCGGTTGCTTCACTGCCCACATGTGACCCAAAATTGATATGCTGTATGGAGATGGTTGTGGAATGTTTTCCTTGCACTCCATAACACTGTGCAATGATAATAATAAGTAACATTTTTATTTATTTTTTCTTTTGTAGGGGGGAGGAGGAATATTCAATTATCTGTAATACACCTTGCCACTATCACTTGGTGGGGTGGGAGGCAGGAATAGGATTCTAAGTATAGAAATGGTATCCACCCGAAACCTGTGCTCTTCCAATCATAGCTCATGGATGGTACATTCCACACTTTGTGCATTTAGGAATTGGTTCTTGCATTATTCCTCTTGCTAATGTTTAATCACCCTCCAAGAACTTTGTGACCCTGGCCTTCGAGCCAAATTTGTTCATGACTGGTAGTGTTACCTGGATCCAAAGGATTATTGCAAAATTTGCCTGCTTTTCGTGGAAGATGTCATGCACTAATAATTGTGCTCTCTTGCTGCTGCTGCTCTGAACCTGTAAGTAACCATTTCTCTAGTTTACATGGTCAGGCTCTTCATGTCAGCCACTCGGATTGTCCTATGGCAGTCTGCCAATGTAAAGTATGACACCCAAAAGGGAAGTACTGAAGCCATGGAAATAGCAGCCATATCTAATCTCATGTTTTGTAAAAATAGGATTTGAAAAGATAAAAAAA